AAAAAAAAAAAAAAGAAAAGAGATCTGCACTCCCGTGTTTATTGCAGCACTGTTTACAATAGCTAAGATACAGGATCAAGTGCCCATCAATGGATAAATGCATAAGGAAACTGCGGTACAGATACACCATGGAATATTATAGAACCACAGAATATGAAATTGTGCTGTTTGCAACACCATGGATGGAATTGGAAAACATCATGTTAAGTGAAAGAAGCCAAGCATGGAGAGACACATCTCACATGTCCTCACTCACTTTAATATTTGTGAGAACAAATATTAAAAACAATTGATCTCTTGGAGGCAGAGAGTAGGATGATGTTTACCAGAGGCTGGAAAGGGTAGAGAGGAGCAGGGGATCAAGTGGGGATAGCAAAAACTATAGTTACTTAGATAAAATGAATAATATTTGATAGCACAACAAAGTGACTATAATCAACAATAAGTTAGAGTATATATATATTTTTTTAGACAGCATCTCGCTTTGTCACCCTCAGTAGAGTACCATGTGTCATAGTCACAGCAACCTCAAACTCTTGGGCTCAAGCGATCTTCTTGCCTCAGCCTCCCAACTATTGGTGGGACTGCAGGTGCCTACCACAACACCTGGCCATTTTTAGGAACAGGGTTTCACTCTGGCTCAGGCTGGTCTCAATTCCTGAGGTCAGGCAATCCACTAACCCAAAGAGATGATAAATGCCTGAGATGTTGGATACCCCAACTACCCTGATTTGATTAATTCACATTTATGGCTTTATCAAAATGTCATATGTGCCCTATAAATATATATAACTATTTTATACCCATAATAACTTAAAACAAACTCTGATGCCAAGGGAGTAGATTGGTGCCTGAATGCGGGTTGTTTCTGCCTGAGTATACTGCATGATAATATCACACAAGCAGCTGCTCACGATGCCATTGCCGTGTTTTACCTAAAATACCCACCTCTGTTACATTTATAAAAATTTACATCTTTAAAACCTATACATCTTTTCTCTTATGTCTTTTAATGAGTTTTTTCCCCCATGCTAAGTGGCCCTGGCATTTCAGGGAGCCAAGTGAAACTGGGCAGGGAGAGAAAGTGTGCTAGAAAATGTTTATTTATAGAATCAAGACTGTTTCTTTGTTAACTTGGGGTCCAAAAGTGATAGTTACCACTTAATAGTGGTACATGTTCATTGACTTGCCAAATGAGTATAAGGGGTAGTAAAAGAACCATGCCTCTTCCTCTTCCTCTTCCTCTTCCTCCAGCTCCTCACCGACCTCCGTTTCAGCCTGATAGTCATCCGCTTCTTCCTCATAGTCATCTGCATTTAACTCCCATGCTGTAAACTGAAAGGGTTCTGTTCAAAAAGGAGAAGAAAAGAATTATCGAGGAAAATATTTTTAGAATAAAAGGTTGTTAGCATATTACCACAATCAAAGATTAGGAAAATTATTGATTTTTATTAATCTCTTAGTGATCTCTCCAGTCAAAGATTAGGAAAATTATTGATTATTATTGATCTCTTAGTCTACGGATGTATGCAGATAGGCCTTTACAAATTCCTCATGGGACAACTGTCCAGTATGGCCAGTGCTATTTGTGCCCCATGGCTATTGTGATTGGCCAGAGTCTGTGCTGTGATGGTTGCTAAGAGTTTTCTCATCATCCTTGGGTATGTTGAGCATTTACTTCATAAAGCATCAAGAAAATCTTTAAAGTTTCAAAATACATACATATATATATATATATTCTTTTAGAGACAGAGTCTCACTTTGTCACCCTCGGTAAAGTGCCGTGGCATCATAGCTCACAGCAACCTCCAGCTCTTGGGCTTAGGTGATTCTCTTGCCTCAGCCTCCCAAGTAGCTGGGACTACAGGTGTCTACCACAATACCTGGCTATTCAAAATATTTTTAATACTGTGCTTTGCTCTTGATAATAAATGTTATGATCACAGCTCTTACTTTCCATAGTCTCAACTACTTTTTCAAGTAGTTCCTCCGGAGTCTTGTTGGAAATTTCCAAGTTTAAAATTTGAATGACAGAGTCATGAAGGAATGATTCCAGAATTTTCCATGTCAAGAGGAAATTCTGAACCTTCTCTTTAAAGGGGTCCATTTCAAGAACATCAGGATAAGAATCTTCTGGAAACTCAGGTAGTACAACTTTTGAGTGAAAGACAAAGGATACAAAAAAAGAATCTTTCAATATCATATGTTTGCTATGTTGCCAAAATAATTTATGCTTTATACTATTTTTAAAACATTTGAAAGAAATATAATTCTAAGCAACAATAACAATTCACAAATTCATATTTTAATTACGCTTTGCTCTTATATTGGCTGTAGATAAATTATTACCTATTGCTAAAACACAAATTATTTGGATAATGTATATGAGTTTCATACGGAAACTTTTAATTGTTAACAAAAGGTATAAAAGAAAATTTGATGAAAATCAGTGGCATAATCTGGTTAGATACAGTTTTTAAATTTAAATTTAAAAATATGAAGGGGGTACAAATGTTTTAGGTTGTAGAGGACGCCAAGAGCCAGACGACCTCTGAGCAAGATGATTTACAGCTGGGGGTTGGACTCTCAGGCAATTTGGAGAAAGAGCCCCAGCCTTCAGCACACAGTCATTGTTAATTACTCCCCTCACCTGTATTGTTCTGTCTCAATAAAAGGCTAGTGCGGAGGTTGCTCAGGGCTACCCTGCAAAGAAGGGCTAGCCTGCCTCCTACAAGCTTATACTTCTAATCTGCGTCAAGCCTGGTTCTTTCCTGCGGTGATTGAGACCAGGGCCACGGGGGCCCAACGGGCTTCGACATTAGGTTACATAGATTGTTTTTGTAATGCTTGAGACATGGCAATAGGAGTGCCCATCACCCAAATGATGTTCACAGTACACATGAGGGTTGTTTTTTCCCTCTCTCTTCCTCCCCCTGCCTCACTGGTTGCTTTTCACTGAATTTTACTTCCCTCTATGCACATATGTGCTCATCAGTTAGTTCAAGGTTAGTGAGTACATGTGGTTTTGAATTTCCTGAGACCTGATCAATCTTGGAGAATGGTCCATGTGCTACTGAGAAGAGTGTGTATTCTGTAGTTTTGGAGTAGAAGGTTATGTAAATGTTTGTCTGTTTGATTTAGAGTTTAGTTTGGTTTAGGTGTATTATTTATTTATTTTTTGCTTTGATGATGTTTTGAGCTCCGATAGTGAAGTGCTTAGGTGCCCTGCAATTATGACAGTATATTTCTTTCTTTGCTTAGCTCTGTAAGATCTGCTTAACATATCTGGGAGCTCCTGTGTTGGGTGCATATATACGTCTAGGATTGTTATGTCTTCTTGTTGGATAGCCCCCTTTACCATTATATAATGACCTTTTGGTCTTTCTTTACTTTTGTTGGCTTAACCATTTCCAATCCGATTTTTCTGCCACCCACATATTCCCCAGCTTTTATTTATTTGGGGTGGGAAAGAGGTTTGTGGCTTACTTGTAATTATCCTACAGTTTTAAAAGAGAAAACATAAATAGGAACTCACCGATGATTTCATTATCTATTTTAGGTTACATAAAATAAAGTGTTTTTATTTTTGTTTATAATTTTTTTCAAGTGTGATGCTTCTTGAAGCAATCTCCAGGATGACGTCCAGGCGTCTTCTTGCGTGTCTCATAGGAGAAAATAGTTTCTCTTCTTCCTCCTTTCTCATTTCTTCTGCTGCAAACCATACACTCCTTTGATTTTTTTTCATTTTTTATTATAAAATGCATCTTCTCGTTTATCCTTTCCTCTGTGTTGGAAGACGATGATCTTCTACTTTCTTGAATTTCTGTTCCTCATATCGCTCATCACTCATTGAGTGATGAGATTCCTCCTGTAAGAAAATTGTGTCTGCACTTTTTCTGCACTCTTGTCCTTATCTAAAGACTAAAGGATGTAGCTGTCCACAACTGCAATTTCCATCAGCCAGAAGAATAATTTTTCCACCATTTGTAGGCCCTCCTTATAAATCTGTAACATCCACAGTACTGATCGGCTCTGTCTACTATTCCCATAAACTTTGTGTATTCTAAAATAACTATTGGCTTTTCACATGGAATAGGCTGTTTCTTTGATGTTGATTACTGTGTTTGAAGGCCAAAGAATGTAATCAGCATCGTCACTAACCTTGTCATGGAATGAGAGGAAAAAAAAGTTTCAGATGTCTTCTGACATCAAAGTGGAACAGGAAAATCATTAGGCTGGATGAGGTCTGATACAGGATTGGAAAAGGTTAAAGTCAATTTTATCTGACATGAGAAGAGCTATACCTGCTCTCTTTTGATTTCCATTTGCAAGGAATATTTCTCTTTCATCCTTTCATACTGAATCTGTGTGCATCCTTGAGGTTTAGATGTGTTTCCTGGAGACAGCAGATAACTGGGTTGTGTTTGTTCATCCATCCAGCCAGGCTATGTCTTTTAAAAGGAGCATTCAGTTGGTTTGCATTGATGGATAGCATTGACATGTGGGATATCAGTCTATTCATTGGGTAGTCTATTGGGGAGTCCCTTATTGTTTTGATTTACCTTATGTTCTCTTGCTTTATAGGAGTTGTTAGTTTGGTTTTTTTTTTTTGGTGAATTTACACTGGTGGGTGTGTTGTGCTGATTTGTGTATAGTGCTGTACTGAGCATTTTATGCAGGGCAGGTCTGGACATAACAAATTTCCTCTGTGTTTGCTTGTTTGGAAAGGACTTAATTTCTCCATCTATTGTGAAACTTAGTTTTGCAGGATATAAAATCCTAGGCAGACAGTTGTTTGGTTTAAATTAATTGAAGATGGCGCTCCAGGCCCTTTTGGAGTCCCTTCTATAGTTAGCTTGGAGGGTTTTCCTTTGCACGCTTTCATCTTGCTGCTTGAAGAACTTTTCCTTCACGTTGACTTTGGGCAGGTTGATTACTATGTGTCTCAGAAATGACCTCTTTGTTGTGAATCTTCCCAGTGTTTGATGTCCATGCTGTATCACTATGTCTGAATTTATGGCAATGCCCGGGATGTTTTCCTCAATAATTTCTTCAAATGCGTTTTCCAGGCTTTTAGTTCTTTCTTCTTCAACCTCAGGGATACTTATAATTCAAATGTTAGTTCACTTCACACAGTGCCATGTCTCTCTCAGTGATTCCTTGGAGTTTTTCATCCTCTTCTCTGCCTCTTTGAATGATTGAGTTATCTTGAGAACCTTGCCTTCAAGTTCTGAGATTCTTTCTTCTCCTTAAACTGTTTTTAAAGCTTTCAACTACATTTTGAAGTTTCCTAAATGATTCCTTTATTTCTTTAAGTTTATTATATCCCTTCTTATGGTGTCTAGCTCTCTAGTGACATTTTTATTTCTTTCATTGATTTCCTAAAATACTTTTTAACTTCTTTTTTATTGGTTTTCAACTTCCTCTTCAATTCCAATCATTTTATTTGCCATCCATATGCTGAATTCCTTTTCTGTCATTTTGGCAATTTCCTTGTGGGTGTAGCTCCATTGTGTCCTCTTGGGAGTGTTCAACTATTTTATTTTTTCATGTTGAAAGCCATTATTTTGCTGGCTTCTTCTTATCTGGCTCCTCTTCTCTTAGTCCTGGATTACTAGGGATGCAGGGCATCTATTCTCCTTGTTGGGGACTTTCTCGCAAACCATGTCCAGGAGTGATGGCTCCTTAGTGTTGGGAAGTTGTGAGTAGAATATTGGAGATTCTGCCAGCCCAGGGGTAATGGTAAGGACTCAGTAATGGGGTCTTGAGGTGGAGTTGCAGGGGCCCTTGAGTTACAGGGCTAGAAGCTCTGACTCAGACACACAAAGACCTTCAGAGCTGGGGCTTTGTGGATTTGGGGGGCAGACCCATCCATATGGGGGACTGTTCCACCAGTGTGGGGACTGCTGATGCCCGGTTACAGAGGCAAGGGTTTCTCTCAGTGGCCCAGATTCCACATAAGTAGGTCAGAACTGCTCAAAACCTAGGAATGGCTTTCAACATGAAAAAATAAGCAGTCACCTGAGGCCTCCCAAGTAGTGGCTGTGGTGTCTGAAGCTCCTCCTCTGTTCTGCTACCCCACTAGGGAGGAGGCGTGCTCAGCCCCCAGTCACAGGACTGGGTACAGGGAGTGTCTGTTCTCTCTCCTGCCTGGTGGATGATGCTACCTAAGTTTGCTTCTAGATGGCTGGGTCCTGAGCAGACCTGGCTTCACGCACCAGAGTGATCAGGATGTCATTAGTTGCAGAAGCTGTACCTGCTCTCTAGTGGAATGTCTCTGCACAGATTCTGAGCAGCTCCCTGATTGACCCAGAGGTCTACAGGGGAAGAGGAAGACCCCCTTGCAGATCAAGCTGCCTGTAACTTTTGTTTCTCTCCTAATAGACAGTGTCCTCTCATGTTGCCTCTATCCTGCTGTCTTCACCTCTTCTCAGCAGTGTGATTGTATTAGGGCCTCCAGCTTAGTCTCTGGGATGGTGAATGATACTTGCAAGAATCAGCCACACTCTGAATTGGTAGATGCTGTAATTAGCTATAGAGTTGTTTTCTCTAAAGCCAAGATGTTCTTTTGTGTCTATGGTAAGCTCTACTCCCTCAGGCACTTCAAAGCCCCAGATTTTGGGAAGTACTCTGTAGCTCCCTAGAGGTAGATTTGTTCTTTTCTTTCTCTCTTTCTTTCTTTCCCTTCCTTCCTTTCTCTTTCTTCTTTCCTTCTTTTTAGATAGAGTCTCATTTTTTCACCCTTGGTAGAGTGCCATGGTGTCATAGCTCACAGCATCCTCAAACTCTTGGGCTCAAGTGATTCTCTTGCCTTAGCCCCCTGAGTAACTGGGGGTACAGGCACCCAATGCTTGGCTATTTTTAGAGAGGGGGATCTCACTCTTGCTCAGGCTGGTCTTGAAATCTTGGACTTAGGCAATGCACCCGCCTCAGCCTCTCAGAGTGGTAGGGTTACAGGCGTGAGCCACTGCTCCTGGCCTCCCAGGAGGTTTTTTGATACCCACTACATTAGAGGTGGGTAGTAGAGTGGAGGCATAGCATGGTTGGGGAGTCTGAAGGACTTTGTGAAGGCTTGGCAGGGTTCAGCAGCTGTTTTCTGGTCTGTTTGGGGGAGCTGCTGGGAGCAAAGCCATGACTGCCTCTTCAGATTTGGAGGGCTGCTTGTGGAGAAAGGGGCGGAAGGCTTGATTGCTATGGCACCCTGGGCTGGTATCTTCCTGACTCACCCTAATCCAGCAGTGCTACTTTCTTACAGGGAGTGATGGATGCCCTCCCAGATCACACAAAGTTTCAGACTCCCAGAGTATTCTTCCATCAGTTCTGTCCATGTGGGTTCCTTTGCCATCCAAGTCCAGCTTCCAAAATAAGGGACAAGAGCCTTTGTCCTCCCAGCAACCCATTTGAGTGGGAGAGGGAGGGCATGGTATCTGGAGTGCGTGTCTGACCCTCTGGCCTGTATCTCTGCACAACACTGGTAGGCAGGGAGCTCCCAGAATGGGCACTCTAGGTCCACAGCAGGTCCTTCAGAGGAAAGGCATGGCTCCACTTGGGTTTCCACAGAGAAACCTCAGCCTGATATACATGCCAGCTGGGGTCAGGCTACTGCTGGACACTAACTACTCTCCTGGTTGCCCAATTGCAGTGGGTTGGGGAGAGCCCACAGTTCCTCAACAGCCAGAGCCCTGGCTTGTTTGTTATGGCTTTCCAGAGACTGGGCTGTTTCCTTGCCAGAAGACTGCCTTACTCCAACAGTCTGACTTTCTTTGGTGTGTGGGCTGGGAGGTGTGGGGTGGGGAGGCTGGCAGGAGGGATGGGCGCTCTCCCAGATTGCTATGTCTTGGACTCCCTATCAGATCTGTCTGCATAGGTCCCCTTTGCCCCCTGGCCCAGCTCATAAACCTCCCCCTTTCATCCCCCAGCAACCTGTTCCAGTTCAGGGACACAGGATCCAGCCAGGGTGTCTGACCCACTGGCATGCATGCCCACAAAAAACCCCAGGATCTCCCAGATCTGAGGCCCTGGGTCCCTTGAAGATCCTCAAGTGTAAAGGCGTGGGCCTTGGTCTCTGTGGAAACCAGACTACAGGGTACACCAGCTGGGGAGCGGTGGCCGAACATCAAATTCAAAACTGCTCTCCCACTCGCAGTGCTTGGGAGAGCCCAGGGGAAAGATAAAAGTCTGAATGGAAGAAAGTTGGCTTTCCAGCCTCTTGAGTCATTCTCCTTGGAGGGGAATCCTGCAGGGAATGTCCAGGAGCTGGGATCGCACAAGTTCTCCCCACTGCTCTGTGTTGCCACAGTGCTTGGGCTTGTGAGTAGAAAAGAAACTTGGTAGCCAGCTGGTGACCTTCTCTCGGGGAAGGTCAGCCATCTTGCCCCAACCCAATAGATACACCTGTAATGCAATAAGCTAAATTAATATAATGCACAGCAATTAGCAAACAACAGACAAATAAGTAGGAAACAGGTACTATGTCTAAAATAAAGGACTAGAGCCTTTGTAAGAAAACATGAAAAGCACTTTTATGCACTAACTACTTTTAGAGTCTAACCTGTGTCAGCTAATTCTTCAGTTTCCAGGCCATCTTTGGATATTTTTGGGATTTCTGTTTCAACTATAGCATCTTCAGTAGGTTCAGGTACTTATGAAAGAAATCCAGTAGTTAGTGTTTGAATTTTAAAACATTATTCCTTCATGAAAGTTTTGGTGCAAAGAAAACTTCAAGGCATACTTAAAATTTATTTACCTAGTAGAAAACACAGCTCTTGTTAGCTAACGTATGGCAAAAATACATACTAATATAAGGCAGACAATGAAGAACATTCTTAAATAAAAGGACATTGACTAGAATAATAACATGATACATATAATTCTAGCTGATAATTGTAGTTAAATATTATTCAAATTTCTGTTGATAGGGCATCAGACTGGGAGTCCCTAATATTCTTTTTAATTTTCATTAAAATACCCATGAAGATAGACCAAAAGACCAAAAAGTGGCAATGAGAGATGATGATATGGCAAAGTTTCGGCAGCGGGTGTAGGCACAGGGGAAGTGTGGAGAATCCCAACTAATTTGACTCTTGAAGGTATAGACTGAAAACTATTTTCCCTGGTGACATAGGACATGCTCACATACACATCCAGCAGAGATGGATTCAGGGAAGGCAGAACCGGTTATCTATCTTCCTACCCCATGGTCTGTTTCTAGTTCTGAGATACGAATTTGCCAAACTCATATCTCAGGTACGAATATATATGTGTGTATATATATATGAAATAATGGCTGGATACTTTCCAGACAGCCTTCATATATGTATACCTGCCCCCCCACATATACATTTTGTAATACTGCAGAAAGCATCTTCTGAGTTAACTTCTGAGTAATACTCTGGTTCTCTTTCAACAGAACTTTTTTCTTTTTTTTTTTGAAGCACAGTCTTACTCTGTTGCCTGGGCTAGAGTGCTGTGGCATTATCATAGCTCATTATTACCTCAAACTCCTGAGCTCAAGGGCTCAACAGGTCCTCCTGCATCACCGTCCTAAGTAACTAGGACTATAGGTGTGTGCTGCCATACCAGGCTAATTTTCTCACTTCTTGTAGAGACGAGGTCTGGCTTAGGCTGGATTTGAAGGCCATACTTCAGCAATCCTCCTGCCTTGGTCTTCCAGAGTGCTAGGATTGTAGGAGTGAGCCCCTACACCTGGCTAAAATCTACAATGTTTAATACTCAAGAGAGCAGAAAGTAGAAAAAGACAAGCCTAAGGCTGGCCTGGGAGTGTCATGTTTAGTTGTAAGTTGCAAAATTTAGAAAAGCATTAGAAGCCATGACAAGGAAGAAGGGCACTGAGAATATACAGATAATTCTACACTGCCTTAGTGTCTCTGGCTTAATCAAAGACTGAAGTAGGTGGGTCTGAAGAAGATCTAGCCTCAGCCTAGAAGAGCCATATGTCATAAATGCTTACCAAATGTTACCACTTGAACTATGTTGATGCACATTAACCTATATCAGATATAAGAGAGTTCCAAGCAGGAAATTTAAGTGAAAGGTGTATGTGTATGTGGGGGGTAGTGGATGGTTCTTATGAATACTCTATCTATTCTTCCTGTTGGTAAATGCCAGGGTTGGATATATTCTGCTTTACTCAAGGATAAGTCCACAATAACAACAAAATGAAACAGATGAAAAAATGTTTTAATGATGGGAAACAGGATAGAGGGTAATGATCCAAAGATTCTGATAAAGACTTTGCTTCTGAAAACAATTTCTTACATAAAACAAAGTACATTTGACAAGACATACGCCTGGAGTACTCAAAAAGCACTAGAGGCCAGACAGCCTGTGAAATAGGAACCGTGAGGCATAAAGACAAAACAAGCTATAATGAAGGCAGAAATACAAGAAGTGAGCTGAAATGAGGAAACGGTGCAAGGAAATCTAAAATGCAGTGGCAGAATTAAAGCATGAATTAGGAGAGAGGCAAAGAGGAGCTTAAAATAAACCAGCGATGTGGGGGCAAACTAGTCTCCGAAGGATATTCAGACAGAGAAAAAGTAGAAAGTGGTGAGAACTTCCAGGGAGAAGCAGATTCATGTGGCAGAGAAAACAGCAGTTATCTGACCCAAAAATATCAAGTGGTCCTGAAAGAGGAATCTGACCTGATAATGGGAGAAAACCACTTTGAGCTGGGCAAAGACTGTGGCATGAAGATGAAACGTGCTCGGCGGATTCCGGGGACAATCCCTCCCACACCAGCCAAGTTTTAACACAGGATGGTATTGAAATATATCCCATGAGCATCCTCACCAGAAAAAAAAGAATAAAAGAACACAAACGAGGCGATATCCGATTTTTGCTTGTGTAGAAGGAAGGAATGTCAACAGGCAGAATTAGGAGAAGAAAAAGTTCTGACGATAATTCAACAGCATCTAAGTGTTTTTTTCAGGTATGAAAGCAATGGATACGCAGGAAATCACAAAATATGCCACCCGGGATGATTCAAAAATGACTCAAAGATGTAGAATAGAGAGATGACTAAGAAATGGATCAAAATTAAATCTCAAGAATGAAGAAATGAGAAATCCCAGTAGGATCATCAAGAATCCTAATATTGGCTCGGCGCCTGTGGCTCAAGCGGCTAAGGCGCCAGCTACATACACCTAAGGTGGCGGGTTCGAATCCCCAGCCCGGGCCCGCCAAACAATGATGGCTGCAACCAAAAAATGGCCAGGCGTTGTGGCGGGCGCCTGTAGTCCCAGCTACTTGGGAGGCGGAGGCAGGAGACTCGCTTGAG